CTGTTGTGTTGAGTGTTGACTATTGTGTCCTAAACTGTATATTTTTTGAATTTCTTTATATTTGCTTTTTCTTATTTTTAGTTTCTAGTTTCTAGTTTCTAGTTCTACTATGTAACTTTTGTGTGTACAGTCTACAATGTATCAAACTGTCAGTGTATGCTTGTATGGTTTTACTGTTTTAGCATTGTATGGAAATATGGATTATGGTCTTATGGATTATCAAAATGTTCTTCTTGACTTCTATCTTTTTTTTAAACTGAGATTATGGTCTTATGGATTATCAAAATTCTTATGGATTATGGTATTATCGATTATCAAAATTCTTATGGATTAATCATTATCAATCATCACTCATCAGTTTTTTTTTTCAACTGGGTCGCCCAGGTTTTGGGTGCCCGCTTAGGCGGCCGCCTATGCGCTGGGCGGCCTAGACCCCCATGGCCGCCTGGGTGCCGTCTAGTGCTTTTTGAAACTATGCTGCCAGACAATGTTAATAAATTGTCTTGCATATGCATCAAAGCACAAATTGATGTATGCATTGCATAATGCCAACATAGTAATAAATACAATCGGAAACTCTTTCCATGAAAAATAAAAATGATGATAAAACATTATGAATAATCATGTCATGATATCATTACGCTATGACCAAGAAGAAAATATTATATATAAAATGTACTATTGTTGAAGATTTGTCTTTTGTCTTCTTTTTGCTTTATTAGATTAATTTAAATCATCATCACCATCATCATCGTCCAAGCCCTATCCCAACTAGCACCTTTGTGTAGGTGCTATTTTTTAGGAATTTAATTTGAAAAAGTAGCACCTCTGTGTATGGGTGGCAAGAAGTCTGAGTTGGGGTTGACATGGACTCGACCTTACTAGGTCTAACTTGGACCCAAGCCCAACCCTGGTCTAGACCTGACCCTGCCTCGGGTTGGTTCCAAGTCATTTGGACCCAACTCCAAGGGATAAAGAGCTACTTTATTGTTAGAAACAAATGGCAACTTGACATGTTTTCCTAGTTGACAACCATAACTAATAAACTCCGTAGGACAATCAATATTGGAGGAAGCAAGTTCTTGTTTACACAACTTATTTAAAGACTCTATACTACAATGGCCCAATCTATGATGTCATACATTGGCATCCTTATTGACACGACAAGACACAACCAGAGTTTGGAACTTCTTCGACTCATCAACTATATGAATTTCTAGTGAATGTGGGTCACCTATAGTTGATCCTTCTATAAAACATAATTGTGAGGAAATACAAAGAAGATATGATTTTCTCCAGCCTATTGTGAGGCAAATAAGATTGAGTTTGAAATTAGGGACAAGAAATTTTTTTTGAGATATATAGGACCTTTAGAAGACGGAATGTGGACATTCCCAAGATGTGTAATGTGGTGCGAGGAACGATCTCCAATTATAATAGACCCGCTACCTAAGTGAGGGACAATGGAAGAGAACATTTCTTAATTCTTCTCAAATGGTTAGTTGTTCCACTATGAAAGATCCATGCAGCTTCAAATGGAGATGTAATGGAGTGATTCTCCATAGATGTATTCAATGCAGCCAGTTGACATCCAACATGATGAACTCCACTTTCATTACTCAAAGCCCTATAAATGGAATTCTGCTTCACCAGGCACCTGATCCCTATCATCGTGATCGCCAGCAGCCACGGTGATAGGAATTGGAATTGGAAAGCCCAAGGAGGCAAGGAAATACTGAAGAATAAAAATTAGAGTGACCCATAACGAAAGGATAGAAAGGGCGAATAGCCTACTTTTCAGCATTTTTTTTCCTGAGTAAGTTTTTTCTTTGTTTTCCAGTGGCTTTCCTTTCCACTGGATATATTTAGAGCAACATGTTGGTTGCTTCCATATTGTGGTCCTGGGTTTCCATCATAGCCATTATAGCAATGGACAACCGACTAGTAATGCCTTCCACATATTTGACACACTATAATACTATTCCCATGACTGAAACTCCCATTTTTATTGTTGTTAGGTGGAGGTAGGATTCCTCGCCCAATAGTATTTTTTGTAAAATCTGCCTCTACCACAACCTCCTTGTCCTCTATCATTTCTTCCTCTGCCTCTACCTCCACAAAACCCATTCCCAGGAGATGAATAATTGTTGTTGGTAGACATAACATCATAAGAATATACGCTTGATTGCTTCTGCTGTTCTTTTATTTAAGAACATGGTCTCATACTGAAGAAGAAATGATATAATTCTGCAAAAGTGGATATGGCGGTCTTGAGGTAACACTAGTAACAAAATTCTCATGTTGATCTCCAAGACCTTCAATGCCATGTACACTTTGTCAGTGTCACTCACGAGACATTGAATCTTAGCAAGTTGATCACTCTTTCCTTTGATTATTGCCAGATACCTATATATAGATTCATCTTCCTTTTTGCAAAGTTCCTATCTCATGTGCATTAGACTAGCCTGAGATTGCTGGGTTTATGAGTCACTGTAATTCCTTCCACAATTTTACAGCAGTGTCTATGTTTACCACTTGTGCTAATATATCTTCTGACAATGTAGAATTAGTCCACCCAATTTATCCTTGATCCTTGACAAGCCAATCATCATATTCAAGGTTAAAGGTTACTACTTTTTCTGTCTTTCCTTCTGTACTCACTTCTAGTTTGTTGATGAACTGTGTTGGTGCCTTGCATGATCTATCAGAATGACCCATCAAGTGTAGGCTTCTGATGAAAGGAATTCATAACTTTTTTCCATACAATGAAATTGAAAAAAATAAAGTTTGATGGTAAGTTTTGGGCAAGGAACATTATGCAGAGTAGAATATCCCTTGCGAGATAATGGCTAGAAGGTAATGAAAAATAAGTTTTTCTTTTTTGAAAGGAGAAGGAATTTATTGTTTAAATATGAACTGTAACTCAGATTTTACAGTTCATGTGAGAAATAACTAGGGTTTACTGTTCACATGAATAGTAGTTCACATGAATAGTACTAAGGTTTACTGTTCATGTTAAAATAAAGAAATTAAGGTAAAGAAGAGATTTAGAGAGAAGATGAAATTTAATGTTAAGAAAGATCTAGGGTTCTATGCATAGGATTTCATGCCAAAGGAATAGAAGGGATTTTAGGTAAAGAAGAGATTTAGATAGTAGAAGAGATTTAAGGTTAAGAGAGATCTGGAAATCCTGGTTATGGGGACATATTCAGGGTTTCACACCAATATTAACAATAAGTGATCGTCTAAATACTGATGGACAAAGAAATGAGATAAAAGGGAGATCTTGATGTCTTTGGTCAATGGGCCACATTAATTATTGAAGCTGGTGTTGATACCATGTTAAAATATCACCTTGAATACTTGAGAGAGAAGAACAAGTTGTGGTACTGGTAGAGATGGATGAAGAGGAAGCTAAAAGATAAGTAACATGACCGCTAGTTCCTTCATGAGTGAGAGGCTCCACTCAAAGATATATATTTATATTGATTCTAACCCTAATTTATTGAGGGTTAGATAAGGTACACATTAATTATTTGTCCCTTACGATGAACATGAACTATATATTGGTTCGAACCCTAATTAATTGAGGGTTAGATAAGGGTACAAATTAATTATATGTCCCTTACTATGAACATGAATTATAAATACAATAATAGGGTACATCAGTATACAAAATTACCATTATGCCCCTGACCAATTATGAGTAACATGAATGAGATCAGGGACTTGAGCCCTCCAAAAACTAGCACTTTTCTAAGGTGGAACTCAAGCTTCTAGAATTAGGGATGGCAATAGGTTAGGCGTGGCAGTGAAGCCCGGAGCCCTAGCCTAGGCTAGCCCATTTATGCAATCGAGCTTGGCTGGGCCCGAGTATGTGGCTATGCAGGGCTGGCTTGTGAACTGCCCAAGTCGATAGTAATCTGGACTGAAATTCAGGTATGTGCTGGGTCCCCAGTCTACACGTAATCTACCTTAAGTGGGAACAACATCAGGAGAAGGGAATCCTTGGTTGCCAGAAACTGCATAGTTATGGAACCCCAAAACCATAAATATTGAAATAAAAGAAATATTAAAATAAAAAATAAAGATGAACATATGAAATTGCTCCTCCTCCTTTAAAACCTAAACTCACCTGGAGAATTATTCAGATCCCACAATGGAGCCAGGCCAGCCAAAGGAAAGAGGGGCTCTTCTTAACAACATTTGTGGAAGGAGTTCCCAGAAAGACAGTACACGTGTTCCAAAGGGAATTGGCCCACTCAAAAAGTGAACCATGTGTCGAATAGGGCTAGCAATGGGCCGAGGGCAGCCTGGCCCATTGTATGTAAGATTAGTACTTGTGATGTTCTAATGAGTGATTCTTGAGAGGATGACAGAAGATCTAATAACCATAGATGCACAATGATGCCTCGGGTTTATCGGGTTTAAATTGAGATGTGTTATTTTATTGTAACTTTTCTAGTATGGAGTTTTTAAAGTGTACATTCAAATAAAAAGCTTGTCGTTCTAGGAATTTCCTTTTTGGCCAAGTGTCAATGTACCTAGGAATCAACACTAGGTTGCCGGCATTCTTCAATTGTGTTATATAGTAATGGCTGGTGTTGTCCTGATATTTATTGAACAATACTGTGATGTTGTTTTATGTCATGCTTATAAATGAAAAAAATTTAAGATTACAAGGAGTTCATTCCTCTTCAGTGACTGCTAATTTTGGGGCTTTGCAACTACAATGACATTTATGGTTGTGAGTAGTCCATATTTTACTGAATGTTCTGCTGCCCTGGATTTCAGATTCCCATATTGTGTGACTCATTTCCATAATACCCATGCACAATTGTCAATAAATTTTCATTTTTTCCTTATGCCCAGCGGATGCCACCCTCATCTTTGGAACCTTTCTATGCCTTATTCAATGTTGTTTGGCATGCCATTCTTTGTAGTGCCTATCACTGAGATTTTTGGCCAAACTATTGTCCCCTGATATTTCGTGTTGGCAGCCTACGCTTCACAAGCCGAGCATGATGGCACATGTTGCTCGCATATTGAAGGGGGAGAAGACACTCCGTATGCATTATGCAAATTGCAGGTATCAAATTTTGATATTCTAGTTGTTTTGTTTTATTTTGTAGTTGATGATAAGTCATACAGCTTTGTAAGCTGCAGAGATGATAAGAAATAAAACAACTGACCCCGTATAGAGTACCCTCCTGCCCACAGTTAGCAAGTCTCCATTTAAAACCTGAGTTTTTTGAAACATCTGACTTTTTTAACTCCGTTCTTTGATTTTTTACCCAGTATCATCTTTTACTCATTATTGTCCACTCCCTTAATTTTGGTTTGGTAGACCAGTTCTTGATTTGTTCCCTTTGCATAGCCGATTACTACCCAGAATGAGGCCCCTGGAAAACATCTTTCCGCCTTTACACTTGCCCCTTGCTCGAGGCTACCACCATTTGCATATATCTAGTTATTGCATTCCTTGTTGTTTGATTTGACTGTAATCCTCTGGAATTTGCTCACTAGACCTGGTCCTAGATTGGACCAAAATTTCTTACTATAGCCTTTCTCACACGAGCAGCATTCTTAATGGGCACTTGGCTTCTCAGTGTAGCAGAATTTTTATTCCTCCTTGGGAAGGGATATATTTTTTCATGATTGGGATATCCATTTTATGTACAAACTCTACAAGTATAAACATGCATGCATCAGGTTGTTTAGAATCCCAACTGTCATTGATTATGACGCTTGATTGAGCTTTCCCAAGAACCTTGTCCTCTTTTTCCATTAGAAGTTGCACAGTTGGGACTGTGACACTATTTTCTTCTCTATCTGTGTTAAAACACCAGAATTTTATAATCTCATGACCTCCTCCAGTGCTGGGACCTAGTGCAATCTTTCTCGTCTTCCATTACAATGTCACCTTAAGAAAACCTTCTCCAGCAGCTTCTTTTGTCTTTAATTAAATACTCGCATGCCTTTACTTGTTGTTGACTGAGCATTAATGGTCGTGAATCTGCAACAATCTGCATAGTCAGTCAAAGACATTCGGACATGCATATACGTATGAACATGCAAGACATACTTTTGTGCATACTGTGTATAAATTCAGTGGATGTGCATTTGTGTTTGCGCGTGCATTTGTGTTTGCGCATGCATGTGCACCCACACCTGTATCTATATGTAGGTGTATATAAAATGTGACTTAGTATCGAGATATGCGATTTATGCAGCTCATATAATGCTGATTTTGACGGTGATGAAATGAATGTACACTTCCCACAAGATGAAATAGCTCGAGCCGAAGCATACAACATTGTAAATGCCAACGAGCAATACATAGTACCAACAAGTGGTGAACCAATAAGAGGCTTGATTCAGGTTTAAATTTGTTATTCTTTTCTAGGCTGGATTGTTGTTGTTATTATTATTTGTTATCACTAATAATGCAATCTAATCTCCCCTGGATCGGCATTATTAACTGAGTTATTCACTTAACAGGATCACATCGTAAGTGCAGTGCTTCTTACAAAGAAAGACACGTTCCTAACTCAGGAGGAATATCATCACCTTCTTTACTCTGCATGTGTGTCCACTGTAGCTCCAGATTTCAAACATGGTAATCTTAGTAAAAAAATAAGTTTGGTGAAGTCTGATGAGGAAATACGTCCCCTGCTCCCTGCAATTTGGAAACCAAAGCCCTTGTGGACTGGAAAACAGGTTTGCTTTGCCTTTTTTTAAAATATATTATCCTCTTCTATTCAATATTTACTAGATCTAAAAGAAATATATGTGTCTCTCTTTCTATATATATATATATGTAGAGTACTTTTGGCTTTATATGTAGTACTTCTGTCTTTTTTTTATCAAATTTTGTTAGGTTAGCTATGATGCCCCTTGATCTGACTTAATAAGTAAAGTGTATCAGTCAAATGACCTCTTCAATGGGAAGACCTCATGTTGTTCATTTACATTTTTACTTTGAAAATTTTAGAAGCTATACAAAAAAGGGAACATTCAGGTGAACATAAAATCTATTGGAGAAAAATAAAAAAAGAAAGAACGATGTCGATGTTGAAATAAAAGGAAGAAAAAAGAACATCTGAATACCTGTTACATAACTGTGTTCATTCATGACTGTTTTACTTTACATTCACATGATGATTCAGACCATTTATAAGTTCCCATTTTGATTGGTCATGAACCATAATAATTTGACGATTATATCATACGAACTAAGAAGAAAATATAACTGGGTGCCTAAGATACTGCTTTTCAGCCTTTAGAAGGTAACGGTTATTGGAGGTTCCTTGGCAGTTGACAAAACTTGAAGAAAGTATGATTTGGGGAAAAAAGAATCGTCGGCCAAAAATATGGGAAGCATGCATGCATACTTCTTTCTATTGGTTTTTTTTACTGGGAGGTTTGTGAACTTAGGGGCTAATTGATACCCCAATGGCTACACTATATGGAGAACCAAAAAGAAAACAACTGGATTATGTGATTGTGCAGCCAGTCATATTGGATTCGGTTTCACTTTAAGATGCTGAACTGTAGCTGCATAACATGATTGTGGCGTGATGAGCTAAAACGTTGCTTCTCTTTTCACTGTTTTGTATAAAAATAAAAAATAAGCATATGCATGTGGTATTTTACTTATTTTCTGCCACAAAGCTCATCTCCTTCTGTATGACACGTACTTTTTAATTGTTTGCATAACATTCAGGTTATTAGCACAATTTTGGACCATGTCACGAGGGGCCAGCCACCATTTACTGTGAAAAGAGCAGGACGGATCCCAGCAGGGTACTTTGGGAAAAAGAATGGAGAGTACAAGGTTTTGGTTCACAAGAATGAGCTTGTCCATGGTGTCATTGACAAGGCACAGTTTGGGAAATTTGGTTTGGTTCATGCTGTCCACGAGTTGTATGGTGCAAGTGCAGCAGGCCGTTTGTTCTCGGTATTTACTCGATTGTTTACTGCATATTTGCAGGTTAGTCTTTCAGAACTATCGCCAATGAATTTATAATATATATTGGAAATCGAAAATGTGCATTTTACATAAAGGAAAATGAATATACTTACTGAGGCTGCTGATTTTTAGATGCATGGGTTTACCTGCGGTGTTGATGATCTTCTGGTGAGGCAATGCGCAGAGATGGATAGAAGAAGAAAATTAGATGAAAGTGAAACCATTGGCGATCATGTCCATTCTTGGTTCATTGGTGCAAAGGATGCTGAGATGGGTTAGTATGCTATGTGGATTTTACAATTGTGTATTACTCGCTTACATAATGTCATTTTCTTGCTTTTCCTTTGTACTGTATATTTCATCAATACACTCTGAACAATATGCACCTAGAGGACACAAATATCCTCTCGACCTGGTCGGTCAGGTGGCATGGTGCCACAACTAATGCCTAGAGTTCTGTTCCTACCGAGATCCCAAGTTAACATTAAAAAAAAAGGCACCTGGAGGACACTTGGTGCTCTCTTTGTAAATTCCGTTCCATCTTTATTTTGCATGTGATGTTTTCTTAAATTTGTTTTTTTAAAATGATTTTAGCCATAAGCCTATTTGTACGCTGATTTAGTTGCTGGGTTGCTCAAAATTGTGAAAGCCTAAGACAGTTGAGATCACGATGCTTGCGGAAAGGGGCAGAAGAGGTTTTGGATATATTGATGACCTGGACCTGTTTCGATGTATGGTCATAAATTGCAATGCTGTTATCTTTCTCACCAACAATACTACTGGTGTATGCTTGAATATCATTGATTAAAGAAACATGGACATGGTTTTCTGGGGTCCTCGTACGATTTGGGCTCTCTAGAATAATGTGGTCCTGAGTATTAAGTGATTGCTTTTGCAGATCCTATAAGAATGCAAGCAGCGATTGAGAAACTGGTGCGTGGTAAAGGAGAATCTGCGATAGCTCGGTTGGACAGAATGATGTCAAGTGCCCTCAATCGTCTGACTTCTGAAGTTAACAATAGCTTATTCCCTGAAGGACTGTCAAAATCTTTTCCTAGTAACTGCCTTTCTTTGATGACATCATCTGGTGCAAAAGGTGGTCTAGTAAGTTCTTTAACTCGCTTATCTTGTTCTTATTTGTAAACTTGTGAGTTAACATAACTTCATTTGCATGATCTTCATGATAACTTAAATATGCAAAGAATTTGCTATTGTTTGATGGTCGCACTTGAATTTCTTTCAGCCTTTCCTATTTACTGGTTGGTTTGTGGAGGCTGAAGTGACGAGAGTAGTTAATATTTTGGGTTTGATACTGTTTTTGTAATTATTGCATCTTAAAATGTTTCGTTGTTAATGTTTCATCCAAAATTGATAACTGCGCAAAGTTTACATCCAAAATGAGAATGCAACGTTTGTTCTAATTCATACTTTTTCAACCTGAGATGTGTATCATTTATTATTTTCTGACTCGTTAGCATGTGGATCTTTTAGCTGGATTATCATGAAATTTTTCCTGCAGGTGAAGATTGCTGCTGGTATACCATTGCTCAGTTCTAGATTCTCATGTCCAGTTTTCATGTGTAGGACCATTTCATTTGGCTTATAGAGTTTATCCCTTTTGTGTCCTGTGATTAGCCATAATAAGTACTCTCAGATAAACTTAATGGCTACATATTGATTGGAGCTCATGATTTCTGAAATTCTGAAGGTTTGGTATTTGTTTGATGTCGTCTTATGATTGTAGAGCATCCATTGATGTGGCTTCCAACTCTATCTATAGGTTAACTTCACACAAATTTCCTCGTTGTTGGGCCAACAAGAGTTAGAAGGAAAACGTGTCCCTCGTATGGTCTCTGGGAAAACACTGCCTTGCTTTCTTCCTTGGGACAGCGCTGCTCGTGCAGGAGGCTTCATTAGTGATCGATTCCTGAATGGGCTTAGGCCACAAGAGTATTATTTCCATTGCATGGCTGGCCGTGAGGGGTAATTCAGTTATTATTCCATCAACGTATTATCATGTCTTAATATCTCTTGTTTGTTAAATATAGAAACTTTTTTTTTCTTTTTGTGCCAGTATGAGTGCCCCTAGTTTTTTTATTGGCCTAGTTGTTTACTGCTTTATATTAGTTGTATCTAGTGTTTGAAAATTTGGCGATCTAGATCGGAACCGGCCGATTTAGATCTAGAATTGGCTGAACCGATCCGGATCATGCAAAATATCGGGAACGTACCGGTTCCCCCCCCATGAACCGGCCGGTTCTATCTGGTTCTTTGACAGAACCGGCTAGTTTTGTTAGAAATCCAACCGCTTCTACTGTGAACATGCCACCATTTAAAAAATATTTATTGAATTTCTTTATTAAGGATACAGGTGGTTGGGCCCATCCCCTAGGCATTAATTTTTATGTGTTTATCAAATTTTATAATTCTTGTTTAATAAATTAAAAGCCTCTTATTGAAGGAGTGGCCTCACCCCTCTTATGGAGGAACTCCATGTGTGCTTAAGTAGCACATGCTTGTGCTTGGGTAGCACAAACTGACAATGCCCCATATACTTCACACTATTTATAGACTCTAATCCCCTATGACTCTTTGGAAAAGTCCGATGTGGGGCTAAAATAAGGCAACAAGAGAGCAAGAGTGGGAGAGGGATGTATAATGTGTGTGTGTGTGAGATAGAGAGAGAGAGAGAGAGAGAGAGAGAGAGAGAGAGCGTCTACTATAGTAAGAAAGTACGGAACGTAAACTAAAACTAAAACTTAAAACTAAAACTAATTAAACGTTAAAACGTAAAAGTAAGTAACGTAACC